CCACCTGGCAGCCTCATACTGCTTGGCTTGATCATAGTGTCCTCGATGGTTTTGTTGATCAGAGTGTTCATGTCGGTGTGAAGGCGTTAATGGGCCGCCGCCAGAGTCTCACCGCTCTTAACAGAAACTTCTGAGCCTCTGCATTTACACCAAAGTCACCTGACAAAGAGACAAAGAGAACACCATGATTGACCCCTCATGCGAAATAACTTCACCCAAGGTCTTCAAATGTCCTGATCAGAAATACTGATGAGTGTAGTTCGTATCTAGAGTCCGATAAGCAGTTTGTTCAGGCTGCTTGTGCTAAGATGCTACAAGCTAACATTAAATTTCAAAGCTTTTTCAAAATTAAAGCTAAACAATATGAAAAAAGGTATAATTGAAAATTGTCTTTTCACATATTTTTTGTAACAGTTTTCAAAATTAGTGTGAACTGAGTGCACAGACTTACAGATTTTACAGCCAATGTTAAATATAGGACTGACTGGACAGGATGGACTGTTGTCTTGTTTGGTTGCTTAGCTTACAACTCATTTACTTTTTTAAACATTATATTTCCACTTCTAGTGGTACAAGATAGTATGAAGACTGGGGCTGAAACTCGATTAACTCGATTACTAAAATGGCATTTACTGTTTCGTACAGACGATATTACTGTCGCACAACACGTTTACGCTTTGCGCAAGGGAAGATGAAGTGATTTGATGGGATGGGTTGCAAAATAGCGAAAGAGAAGAAAATAGCGAGCAACTAACGAAGAGACAGTCCAGTGACAAATACAGAAAGTGTCCAAACTATGGGATCATTTCAAGCTAAAAGAAAACAAAACTCTATAACTTCTAGTCTGTGTGCTGTGAAACACAACTAGCCTACCACAACGACAGTGTTTCAGCATCTGAGCAGAAAGCACCGGTCTATGCATCGAGACCACGGAGCGGACCCGAAACAAGGTAACGTTAACATTAGCATTGAACGTAAATATGATTGCTAGTTGAGATAAAGGCTAGCAAAGGTAAGGCACAATTCTTAGTTGTAATGTATAAACATGTTTGTTTTTTTTGTTCTCCGACTGGTTAGTCCGTGAGTTTGGGTCGTACAGTGATATGATTACACAGCTGATCCTGTACTGAGGGTAACAAGCAAAAGTATTTGCTTGGCTGAGGTTGCTGGAGTGTAAATTTAGGAATGACCGGCTAATGTTGCCTGAACTCTGATAGCATCCAGGCCCTGCTTCAACAAAGAGGGGAATACTACAGAGTGCATGTGCTAGTCATGAACAGGGATTTTGTTTATGTAACCTTTAGTCAGCTAGTGGCCTTGGAGGTAATACTTGGTCACTAATGTAGCTAGCTGGACATGCAAAAATTTTCAGCTAACATTACAGCGGCTAAATCCATTCCTCACACTCTCCCTCATATATATTTTTTTCCAAACTCGTTGAAAGCTGTGCAATTGTTACAGTTGCTAAACTGCGATTGGACGATTTCTGTTTGGGGGAGAGGTTAGAGAACAGACATTTGTAATTGTAGTAGTAGTAGTAGTAGTATTGTAGTATTTGTGTCGTACAGTGTTAAAAGTAAAAATGTACTTGCAGTAGCAGCAGTAGTACAACAAAAAAATTTTTAGACTCACATGCAGCACTGGTGTTTGAGGCTGAGCTCGGCAAAGGCGTCCCCCAAGGTCTTCTGGGTAACTGTGAACTGAGTGAGCTGATTGGCCAGTGTCTGAGCCAGCTTGGTCATGTTATCGTAGCGTTGTCGGTCGTCTTTGAGCAGTTCGAGGCGAGGCTCCAGGTCCAGGTCCACCGTACGGGATCCACGGCCGAGCTTCTCTATAAGCCTGCCTGGTACACTGCAGGGAGACAGTATTGCTCAGACTGATTGAACATCTTTTACCAATGAACAGAAACAAAAAGTCCTGTTGGATTCCTCTCACCTTGGGAGCCTGATGCTCCACTTGCGGACTCTTTGCAGCTTCTCACTGGCTGGGTTCTTGTTGTTGCCTTGAATCACCACAGGTCCTCTTTCCTGGTGTCTGGGGTGACACTGGAAGGTCTGGAGGTGGGGGGGTCAAAGGTCAATGGAGAGTAGGGATGAAACGGTATGAAAATTTCATTTCCCGATTATAGTGACCAAAATAATCACGGTTATCAGCAGTATTGTAAAAATGTGGAGAAAATAATTCAAATGTACTGAAAAATCAGCTTATAATTGTTCAGTTATCCTTGCAATTAAAATGTGTGCGGTAATAATAACCGTCGGGAATTTTACTATGGTTTATTAAACCGGCAATCGTTTCATCCCTAACGGAGAGCTACCATGACAAGTGCAATACCTGACATATTGTGCAGTATTCTCTGCTTCAATACTCTGGTTACTCTTGTATCCAAAAGTAGTAGTGGTATGGATGGAAATGGTGGACCACACATATTATTTGAATGTTTACACAGTGTGTTCAGTTGTTTGTGTAGTATTAGTTTAAGCAGACTGTGTTTGTCTTTTGCTGTGAGATCAGATCACATTTTATGACCAATTTATGCAGAAGTGCATGTAATTCCAAAGGGTTAACATACTGTACTTTTCCTGCAACTGTAAATAACCATTTTACAATACATGTTAGAAACCAAACAGCGTAAACACACACCTTTATAATGTTTCTACTCCTTCACTTGTTTACCTTTGTCCTGCCCTGTTTCCATGTTGACCTCTGCCATGGCCTCAGCTGGACAGGAAGTGACACCGTTGTCTGCGTGGTTGCAGTTACTGTTCGCGTCCTGTTAAAAAGGAGAGAGAAGTGTTTCTTTCCACAGCACTACGGCACATGGACAGAAAAACTATACTGCTATGTTTTGGTGTCATTTACAGTCCCTGCTTCTATCCTCTGCTCTCTCGAAGGGAGGGCAGGGTTCAGTGCCTCCACGCGAGCGCGTGCACACACACACACATTAATTCAAATTAATTAAATTTATTGAACATTTGTTATGCTGTTAGTGAGGAATATTATATTGCAATAATTATCATTGTTGTCCTAGTCAAGCAGTCAACATGTGTAAACAAGGAGGAGTGTTGCCTCCGTCAGACCCACTAATTATGGAGTGTTTGAGCAGCATTTGGAGGCTAAGAAATTGTCAGTAGTCAAGGAATAACGCATTTAATCAGGGACAATTCACATCAAATCATGTTTGCAACAATGCCTTTATTGTGAATTGTCCCCTTTTAAATAGCATTACGGTATTTTAATATCCTGTTGTAATACATGTATTGTGAAATGCCCATAAATAATTGCACATGCATTTGACTAGTATAATAATAATTATTAAGGCATATTTGCATGATCCATCAAGTTCATTTATATTGATTCAGTTAGTAATATTTTCTTATTGAACTGCTGAAATTGTATTAATCCACCACATGATTACGCACACCTTCTGATGAAAGAAATTTGCATAAATTGTAAAATACAGTGTTCAGAAATCACACAGAATCTGGATATGACATTATATTAGTTGCTGCTCTTTTAAACTTTTGCTGCTTGTCAATTGTCTATTTTGGACTGGTTCTGACTGTACATGGGTCCCTTTCAGACCAGGTTTCTTTAATAGGAAGTACATTTATGCACACCAAAATCTTGGACCTGTGAAGCCCTCTGACGCACCTCTGACCTCTCTATGGAGCTCAACTTGCCCCCCCACCCCCCACTCAACTGCTGCTGCCGGAAGCACTTTAACTTAAATATTTAAGATTTCTAGCTGCATCTTTCCAAGCTGGAATTTCAAATTTCAAAAACAGTTCTTGAATGCAGCGTCAACAGGAGCATCACCAGTAAGCTACCGTAACGAGGTCAAAGGCCAGAAGTTAAAGCACCGTGACAATCCTCAGAAGTATCACCGTGGGAACCGGAGCTTATGGGGGCCAATCAGAACCAAGATCAAAAGGTTGTGAGGTTGCCACGGAGATGATAGTTCCCTGTTGTTATTGGCGGGCAGGGAAAATGGTCAGAGGTCACTGCTATAACACTCAAGACAGGAAATAGTCACCTGATATAGATGAAAGGTAAAGACACACGAACAGTAAATGGCTGTCGTCTACAGTTAAGACAGGTTACAGACAAAAACATCAACACTGGAAGTTAACATGTGTGTGTGTCTACCTTCTTGTATTTCCCACATAGTGAGGACCGGAGCTTTAGGTTTAGGTTAGGGTCGGCATTTTAGTTTTGATTGTTAGGGTAACAAGGTCCAGGGAACGCGTTATGTCAATGAGGGTCCTCAAAACTATAGAAGTACAAGGATGTGTGTAACAACATTATATTCCCCCTCCGTCACTCCTCCTCCATGGTTTAATTTGTTTCCAGGAAGTGATGTTCAGGGAATGTTGTGCAGTTTTGCAGGGTTTTTTTTTCCCAGAAAACACACACACACATACACACACCTGTGGAGGGCTCACCGGGCTGGAGGAATTTGGCTCAAAGTTGTTGTGTCGCATTGAAGAGACAGCGAGGCATGTACTGACGCAAAGAGAGTTTTACACTCACACACACACACACAGTATCCACCTTTGCTCTTTCCAAAGGTTAGAGAAGCTGGTGTGTGACAGGAAGGTTGCTGGTTTCTCCAATGAGCTCTTAAAAAAAGGGAACATTTGCTTTAAAAACAGATTTATTTTGCATCAGTGGATCTGTTAATCAGTTCACTCAGACGAAACCAAACTTCAAGAGAGATTTTGAAAGCCTGAAGATATGGTTTACACCAAAATTAAGGGCTTAAAAGGGAAAGGTGGAAGTAGCAACAACCACGTCTCAGTGTAACAGACCTGGCAGTCAATTAAACATGCCAGAGACGTGCAGAGCCAAATCTTAAGGATCTGTTTCCGGACCGATCCAGGCAATTTGGATCGGTGGCAACAGTTCATTGAAAACAAACTAAAAATGTACCATTCAACACCTAGTGGCCATTAGAGGAACTGCAACTTGAGATACAATCATAGCAAACGATGAAACCAGAAAAATTACATCTCAACGTTTTAAAAACTGCTCTAAAACTACAGATCTTCACACAGGTGAGTCACCTGCTACCAGCTCCTGTTACCTGCCGTCACTCGATTACTATTAACCACAACAACGGCCGCCCTATCAGACGTACAAACACTCGCTGTCACTCTTTATCACCCCAGTTTGCTTTTGTTGTCGTCACAACTGCTGATAACATTGTAGAATCTGTTAGGCAGCCGCTGCACATTGTTCCTTTTCTTTTATTTAACTGGTTGCATAACGTGTGTGGAGTATCTGTAAAGAATAAATGCATCAACCACACGTCGGTTTTAAATGTGCTTAATAGGCTGTTGACACCTCAGTCAGAGGAAAAATGAAGTTAAGATGCTTCACTGCTTAGCCAGGGTTAGCTGCAGCCTGCAACTGTGTGTATGTATGAATGCACTTGTGCTAGAGATGTGCGGATGGATATTTCTGATCCCAGTTTCTTGCTCTAGGATCGATTCTCATGCAACAGTATCAATATCTAAAACACAGTAATCTGGAGTGTGTGCATTTTATCGTAAGTAACTGTCACCAGGATGGTCAAATTAGACCCGGTTAACTACTTCTCCTTCCAAAGTCTCTGGAGTCAGTGTTTCCTGGGCTGTAACGGTTTTGAAACCGAGACCGAAATCGCGACACAAAAGTCCCCGGTCTCGTGTCGCAGATCGGACAGGCAGAACCGCGACACACCCGTTCAGTGGACTGTATATTAAGTAGCGGTGTATATCGAATTAGTATTGAAAGCAGGTTGTTTAGGTAATTTTCCACCTTATTTTAGTGTTTATTTACTACTTGAATCTATTCCTCTCCCCACACTCTCACACACCTAGCCGGCATCTCTGGTCTCTCACGCCTCTTTCTGTCTCTCTCCTTGTATGTGTCTCGGCTGACTTTCTCCATCAGCAAGTCGCCGTGTTTAATTAATTCACCCATGATTCAGTTTTCAAGAACGCCACATGTAGACTGAAAGCGAAAGTAACGTTAGTGAGTGACATCTGCAGTGGTGCGTTCACTGTCGCTCCGTAATATTCTTTTGTTATCCTTATACAACTTGCATTTGATTATTACATATTTCTACATCTATTTATGTCAGCTGTATGTCTGTCTGCGTGTAGCACCTTAACACCAAGGCAAATTCCTTGTTATGTTATACTGTTAACATGTTTAATCGGTTATTAAATAGATCTTGTATATAAAAAAAACTAAACCAAACTGTAATCACAGATAAAACTTACATTTAAAACAAAACATAACAGACTCAAACATGACGTCCTGCTGACAGCCATTCATTAAAAAAATGTACACAAAGCAGCGGATACAAGTCGCCTCTATCCTGCTATCCAGAGGTTGCCGCTTGATTAAGATTGAAGAATTAACACTGGACAACCAATCCTCACGTTACTACAACTCTGGATTGGACAACGGTGCGCGCCAAAAGCTGCAAAGCTACTGCATAATTCTGGCTTTCAGCAGCTTTTAAATGTTGTGATTTAGCTGAACAGAGAAGATAATACAGAGGTTTTTATGGCGTCTCACCGTAGGAGTCGTCTCCATCTCTGTGGCGCCGGACGCCAGGCTGACGTCCCCTCTGTGCTCCTCCATCATCTTGCTCCGCCCACTTCAGTTCCTCCAACTTCCTCATTTAGACAAAACAGAAAAACATCAATCTGCAACGTTTCTTGTTCCTCTGAGGTTACGGTCCTGACTTATGAGGCTGCTTCTAAGCATTAAAAAGGATTAATATGATGATGAATTAACATTAAAAACTTCTTTTAGATGTTTCTAGCTACTTATTTTACCTCACTCATTTGCTATATTGTCACGTTATGTTTAACACTTCAAACAGCTGGAACTCTTGTATCAATGTTCAGATTTATGTTGTTGTATCAGAAAATGCGGTAAAAAATCTAAATATCCAACATGTACAATGATGATTATCACTGCTGTATATTCTTAGTTACAGTTATCTGTTGGGGTTAGTGCCTTGTTTCATATTTAACCTGTTTAAAGGAGTTTACTTATATTTAAATATGCTGGAGAGCTGCCTGCTGCTTAACCCTCCTAGATTTTGGGTTAATTTGTGTGTTGACCTGATGATGATGATGATAACGTTTGGTTTCAAAAAGAAAATCCTTCAACATGTTTGAAATTGTGTTTGTTTTTTTTACATTTATCTGATGCTTTTATCCAAAGCGACTTACAATTGCTATATACATGTCAGAGGTCGCACGCCTCTGGAGCAACGAAGGGTTAAGTGTCTTGCTCAGGGACTCAATGGTGGATGGGTCACAGTGGGGGATTGAACCCGGGTCTCTCACACCAAATGCATGTGTCTTATCCATTGCGCCATTGCCCCACAGTAATGTCCTTGATAACAGAAATTATTTTTCTTTCCAACTGTTACAGATAACATAAATCTGTACTTAGAAATAATATCAAGGCATTAAAACAGCAAAATGGTCAACCAGTGAGATTTTATAGTAATTTGCATATATTTCCATACTCGCGTAACAGGTATTCTGGATGTGTAAGAGGGGTTGGGAGGGAGGTTATGTTTTATTTAAAAGGACTATTTAAGTAGTCAACAAAGAAACAAAGTACCACACAAACATAAACCTGGGTAACAACTTTAAATATAATCATTGTCTGGAGGTTTATATTGCAAGGATAAAAGACGTAAGTAAAGTTAAGGATAACAGGAGTGTTTAGGAAGAGCTCAGTGTGTTGTTTCAGTGGAGTGTAACAACAGTGTGGTTCCACCTGGTGGTGGAAAGGCAGAAGCACAACACTCTGCAGCAGGGATCCTTTTACCCGGACTCTTTAAACATGGAGCAAGCATTTCTGGCTAAAACGCTGTTATCAGTTTTTTCTCATGCAGCTAATTTGGCTCTTTGAAAGCAGTTTGAGGATTTATTTGTTTACTCTGGATGATCTTGAATAATAGCACGCTCTTATTTTGATATCAGAATCAGAGATAGTTGCTCACTTTGCACATCAAGGCATTAAAGGAATCAAAATAACAATAGAAGAAAGTTGGTAAGTAGAAATATAAAGAAAATATACAAATATAAATTTATAAATATAAAAATATAAACAAGAGTGTGGAAAAATGGTTAGGGTTAGGGCTTCCAAATCCTGGAGGGATTTTTGAATGATTCAACTATAAGTCTAAAGATAAAAAAAACAACACATCTACCACAATTTCATCGCGCAAAAAAAACACCTAAAAACATTCAATCTTTTAGAAAAGCAGCCGCGAAATTCAGATATTTTAGACCACAACAATCACTAAACAGGCCTGCGAAATCCTGGAGGCACAGAAAATGCGTACTGATAGTGTTGAGGTGAAATCAAAATCCTGAAAAATGACAGTATTGTACAGAGAATAGACAATATTGCACATTAAGTAAAAGCAAAAATAAGTTTGAGTTTAAACCGTGATCAGTGTTGATTGGCTGAGTGCTGATCATGTGATTGCAGGTACATGCGCAGCAGTCCCTTTGTTCTGCATTGTGCACCACAATGTTTCCATCATCACTGTTAAACATTAGATTATTATTTACCAGTGAACGCTGGCAGAGTACGAGTGACGCTGCAAACATGTTGCTCTTAACTAATTGATAATTGCCCCTAGGGGGATTAATAAAGCTGTGTTAATTGTCCTGCTCCTCTAAGTTTCCGTCTGCTTCATGTTTGCTTCTTTTTCTTGTTTCTAATCTTACATGTTGTGTGTTTTAAAGTTGTTTTAATGGCTCATTTTAACATCTGGCAGATGGACAACAGTTCTGTGGAAGAACAGTGATGTTATCAACATGCATTATCCCTGAAAATAAAGACACCATCTAACAGCACACACTGGCAGCTGTAAATGTTAACCTCCCTTCCTTCGCCATGGGACCTAAATATGTATACTTTTTGCTACTGTTCAAATTGTGCCCTGAATTACACAATGGTTTTCAATGTAAAAGATAATTTTGTTATTCAGGAAAGCCACGGTTTGTTGCAAAATCTTGTTTGTGACAGAGGTCAGAGCTCTTTTATACTGCGTTACCCGTAGATAAAGTTTAGATGAGGTGTTTGTACTTTTCACTTACTGTTAATAAAGTTTTATGGGAAAAAAACTTACATATTACTTATGACAGGAAAGTGGTAGTAACCCTGTGGCAGACAACTAATTTCTTTTGAAAGTCGCAGTTCTTCGTAAAACATTAACGTAACATTTACGTTCTGCTCAGTGAACAACATCTCTTTTGTCGCACAACATACATCACCTACATGTTAGCGCTGTAATGCTAAGCTAACATTTATCTCTTGGTTGCTACTAAGCTAGGTAACTATGTTCTGTTTTTCACCTGATGTGTACGACAAACTGCAACTTTCTTGACTTGCAAAAGTAACTTTTAAAGAGGTGATATTATGCTAATTTTCAGGTTCAAAATCTTAATTAGGGGTTGTACCAGAACAGGTTTACATGGTTTTATTTTTTGTCATATTGTACATTACAGCAGCTCCTCTTTTCACCCTGTGTTGAAGGCTTCGGAGTGATACATCTTGTCTCCAAATGATCTTTGTTGGGAGTTGCACATGTGCAGTTCCTAGTTAAGGACAACTAGCCAATCAGAAGCAGAGAAGGGCGGGTCAGTGAGAAGCAAACACGGCTTCAGTTCAGCTGTATATCCCCTTACCAGCTTAGCAACATGGACTGGAGCAAGAGTTTCAGAGTGGTCAGTTATTTACCTGTAACAAAAGTATTTTTCATCCATAAAGTTTCAACTGAGCTCTGTCTCTACATCACAGTAACAAGTTTATGTCCACTGACTGCCTGGAGGGTAGCTAGTGTTTGGAAGGGAGAGGAGAGCTCAGTGTTTTTCCACCAATGTTTGAGGGCATGTCGGAGTAGCCGCTTGGCGAGTGTTATATGACGCGCATTTAGCTTTCATCACTGTGACTGGGATGAAAGGGAAACAAATGAGCTGTTTTCAGGCAGTTCAGAGCAGAGCTTTCTGTGGGAGATGGGAACTCCCTTTGGGCTGGACTTTGGGCTTTGCAAACCTGTTACATGCACAAAAAAGGAGTATAACTCAATAAAGGAGAGGGAAAAAGGCAAACAGCACAATACCACCTCTTTAAATTGACAAACATCATCTGTGTTATTCAGGGCACAATACCCCCTATAAAGTCCAACACAACAAAACATCAGTCACCAAAAGTCACTGTCATCAGGAATATTGTAGACTTTGAGTTTATTCTTGGATTAATGTCAAGATGTGAACTTTACCACTTGTCATAAGTAATAAAGTATTTTTCCCTTACAACTTTAAGTTAAGTGCAAAGTACAAACACGTCATCTAAACTTTATCCACTGGTAAAAGGGTATAAAACAGTGAGCTGGCCTCTGTCACAAGACACCACCCATGTAAATTATACAGGCACATCTAGAACTTGTTTTCTGCCACATTAAAAAAAGTGTTTGACCCCTAATTTCTGCACATGACAACATGATTGGAACTACTTTCACACAATATTAAAATGTGGTTTTCTCCACTTCTGCTTGTCAAAAGGAAGATAGTAACTTTCACTTCTGCATGGAACAACTTGAGGAAACTGTATACATACAGCTCAGTCTGTTCGGGCTTAGCTTGGAAACAGGAAGGTCGCCGGATCGAGTTCCCGAGCGCCGTGCGATGGTAGCCCCCTCTCACTGACATCTCTCCGTGTGTTGCTATGGGTTTGTGCATGTGTGTTTAATGCTAACAATAATAACAGAGTGAAATGTAGAAAACACTGAATTTCCCATTGTGGGAGTAATAAAGTATATCTTGATACCACGTGACAAAGTGATGCTGCACCTGAAAGCTGGCGTCACACCTGCTACCCGTGATTTTAGAGCTGCAGAGATTATTCAATTAATAATAATCAACAACTATTTTGATAATTGAATAACTGGTTTGAGTAAAGAAAAAAAGCCAAACTTTTCTGATTCCGGCTTCTTAAATGTGAATATTTTTCAGTTTCTTTACTCCTCTATGATTGTGAACTGAATATCTTAAGGTTGTGAATCAAACAAGACATTTGAGGACGTCAAGAGGGCTTCAGGAAACACTGATTGAAACGTTTCATGGGTTTTTTAATGGACGATATTTAGAGAGCAGGACATATTAATGCTGATATTAGAACAAAGAAAAGTCATGTATAATCCTATTATGTCTGCAGAGTACAATCTAACATACATCAGCCGACGTGTTGTTTTAGATGGAAGCTTTACTAATGAATGAAACAGAAACACAGATTTGGTTCTGCTGTAGATTTCAGAGCGAGTCTGGTGTTTAAGCGGGGTACAGTTTGTCAGAAGTGACGTAATTAAGCTGCATTCTCTACCGTATAACAATATACATTTAACACTGGTAGATGTGTCTGCAGACTTTATACATTTAACTTGCTCGTTACCTCAAAATACCAGATATCGTCCCGATTAACCTAATCGATTGACAGTTTAAATTTCTATCACTACTAACAACTAGCCTAATCGAGAAAATACTCAACGGATCTGTTTCTGTTCTAATGATTTGGATTTTGAAGAGCAGTTCAATTAGCTTGATTATTTTACGTTTGTAATATGCAGTCTCTATAATGTAAAATATCAATATTTATATCGTGATTATTTCAACCCAAATAACTGTCTTAACCATTAGGGGATTTGAGTGAAATTATCCTTTAATGAAAAGTGTAAAAGCAAATTATACTTACACCAACATAATATAAATCTTAAAATAAAATGCAAAAAATAATAATGTAAAAAAATAAATATATAAATAATATAAAGATCTGGAATATAAATGTTAATTAATTCATTTAATATAATTTAATGGCCTAAATTTGAGTTAATAATTAAAAATATGGAATAAAATATTACAGATAATCTATAACAGAAAAATGTGATTTTAATTAAATATAAAAAAATCAATACTGAGGAGACTTATAAACTGATCAATTAAAGACAGATTTCAATAATAATAATATACATTAATCATAATTTAATACACGCAATATTACACAGTTGCCAGTTTATTAGGTACACCTGGCTAAAATTAGTATGTTGATGGTGTTTATGATATTCTGTCATTCAGTGAAGGTAAATAATAGTACAATAATACAAAATAATAGAAACACCTCAGTATTACAAACTACAGCAAAGCTTCCAGAAATGACCATAAAGTGCAAATGTTGTATTTGTTGTTGTTTTTAAGCTAACGTTACCGAAGAGGTTGTGTTACCTTATTTACCAGGTAAACAATCAACTGTTTCGACGCATAAAGTCAGTAAACTGTGTTTTTAAGTAACAAATCACCAGTTTCCGCAAAATAAACTGTCCCGTTAACGAGTCAACAGCAAAACAAACGCCCAAAGGTGAGTTTTACCTTCACAGTTTTAAAAACAAACCCCTTCTTCTGCTTCTTCTTCTTCTAAACGTGAACTTTCTTCCTTCTTCGTCGCCGTTTTTCGGTTAAATCCACACATTTAAAGGTTCCGAGCTGAAAAACTAAACCAAACTCTGTTTAAAAAGTTACGAAGTTAAAGCGAGGAAAAAAGTCAGACACACCCGGAAGTGTTTGACAGCCGTTTCTTTCCAGAGAGGGCGCTCGATCTGTCGCTCTTGTGTCTTCCGGAGGGGCGGTGATGTGAACTGGGCCAGACAGGAAACCAACCTGACTCTTGTTCCGAGTTTATTAATGATGATTTAAAGGCTTCATTTGTTGAATATGTACCGTTAATAATGAAAAACAAGTGTACATCTTTGATCTTACAGCTTTCTCAAGGTTTCAAGGTTTTAAGGTTCAAAATTCAGCTTATTGTCCCCTCTGTAAAAAACTGTAAAAACTATTAGTGAGTGTATGTTTTTGATGTTTTAATGACTTTCTGTTATTTTGAGCAGCTAAAGCTGTAGAAAAATAAAATTTAGTATTTACCAAAAAAAACTAACTGGAATGTGCCAGGTTTTTTGACCAGTGTTGACTTAGTGTTACAAATTTTTTAATAAAATAAAGTTAGCACTTAAGAAGCATAAAATTAATTAAAGTTTGTTTCTTTTCCCTGTAAGAAAGACTCACACAGAAAAAAATCTGATTTCTTGAGTGTTTTTGTTTGGCAGAATTTAAAGCAAAATAAGTTATGTTTGCACCCAATACTTGTACTGAACACGAAAGCCTCCAGAGGCCACTAGTGTACAACTTCAGACTTTGTTCTTCTTACTTAAAGTTTCTAATAAGCCTTTGCTGCTTAAATCTATTTGTAACATGTATATTTATAGTATTGGTCAAATACCATAAGTGTTCTGGATCTAAACATCTATTTTCTCACAGTAAAGGAATAATATTACCACATTAGAACTATCTTATATTAGCAAAAAGTCTTTCAAAATATTATGTATCTCCAGCTCTTTGTGACCTGCTGTGACCTTTTTTCTGTTGGAGTCAGAATCAGAATAAATTATAT